AAGTTGACATATAATATGTATTTTCTATCGAATAAAGCAAGTAAATACCGAGGGTACCATTTAAAAATCAAAAGTTGTAGTCATTTCTGGTGAAACAGGAAGTGGCCGAAAACAATTGAATACGCCGCGTCGGTTTAGATATTTTAAATAGATTTTTCTTTATTCTTTTTGTGTTTTTTTTTAACCTGATGACCGATAGAAGTACCTCCTTAAAGGTACCTCCTTAGGTTGTTTTGTTCGGTTAGGCAAATTTTTATTACTGGTAAAAAGTCACCAAAAAAATGGTTTCCGTTTGGACACAAAGCAGTGGTGCTTATAAGAAACATATTTTTTTATTTAGTAGATGTTTTTTTAGATATTGGCGAAACCCCCAAAATTCCCTTTCGCTAAAGTAATATTTTCATATCAGAAATCAAATGTCGACATAAAATTATATATATCAAAAGTAATCTATTTTAGATGTCTATAATATTAACAATACTAGCGACCAAAAAAGGCTTGGACTCTTAAGATTCTTCGAGTCATTCGAAGGACCCTTAACGGCGAACGACGGCCAGCATCGCACCGATACTTTCTTAAAAGAAATCGCAAGTCACTTTGCTGAAAGTTGGTATAATGTGAGTGCATACGTTATGTCATATTTCATTAAACTTAATCAATCCGATTCGCCGTGGTACTCGATTCCTTTGTGATTACATTACGATTTTCATTAATTGATGTTTTGAAGGACACCTTTAAATATTTGCCCGTCATAATGTATAATTATATATCCTTTTGTCGAGGTCCGAGCGCATTATCATATATTCGGTAAGAAATGACGGTAAAATAAAATGTATCTGACATGTGTGTCTGAGTCAAGCTGGATTTCGATGTTTAAGATATAAATGGGTTTTATTACTGGAAAATAGTTAGGGAATTTCAGAACTGAAACAGAATGCCACAAATCTAATATAGTGTTGACATTGCTGGCCTTGGGTACCGATTTTTACCAAGAGACATTTTTTACATAAAAAGTCACGAAAATTTATATTTTTTGACTCTGTAGTTTTATACAGGTACGGACGAAAAGTTATTACTCTTCAAAACAGTTAAAAATATGCAGGTGGCGCCCCCTACAAATAGGAGTCATATTGAAATCAAAATCAAATTTCTCATGTCAAAAAAACTCCCAGACACCAATTTTCATTCAAATATTGACGTTACTTCAGAAATTATTTGGAAAAAATCGAAATAAAAATGAAACTTCTACACCCTGTATCTCCGAAACTAAGCCTTTTAGGACATACATTTATACAAACTATTTCACTTATTTTTATCTGCAAAATATGCTGCCGAAATTTCCGGAATACAGTTCGGACCACACTGTATATTAAATACTTCATATTTTTGCTCTCTCCAACTTACTAGATCGCCATAGCTATTCATTCCTAGGCATGTACTCAGGGGTGGAACTCTGTATCTCGACATTTTCTCCAAAGCGAAAGAGATAAGTAAGAGAAGAGATAGAGATCGTTGAAATTATTGAAACTTTATAAGCAAATCTCTAAGACTATCGTATAATCTCGGCAATATTCGTACTTCTAATCGGATAGAGATTTTTTATATAATCAATCCTGAAAACATCTTATTTTGTCTAATTGCCAAACTGGACAAAGAAAAAATGACGTCTGAGTGAAAATAACCTCACATTTTTTTACATCTATTCTCTGGCTGGTCTTTGGTTTACGTAGATTCGATTTCCTAGTTTTTATTAGTTGTTCCTAGTTGTTATTTTGTAGTTTTTAAGTTTTCGTAGTTATTAGTTTTTCCCACCTAGTTGTTATTTTGTAGTTTTAAATTTTCATAGTTTTTAGTAGTTCTTAGATATTTTGTAGTTTTTCGTAGTTATTAGTTCTTCCTACTTGTTATTTTGTAGTTTTTGGTTCTTCAACCAGTGATTATTTGTAATAAAAATGTTGCCGGTTCAGATGTTTTTGATAAATGAAGTTCAAAACGATGAACGAATGTACCAAAACCGCATACAAAAAAGAACCATGCGAGATGCAAGTGATCCATTTGCATTGCCCGATAGGAGGTTCATTGATCTCTTCAGATTAAATAAAAATGTAGTCCACTATTTGTTTGAGACTTTAATGCCATTTATGGAAGCTGAAGAGAGAAGGTCACGGGTTCCTCGTCAAACCCGCATATTAGTTGCGCTGCGATTTTTTGCGACTGGTGACTACCAAAGAGGTGTGGGTGAAGAATACTTGCTCTCGGCCAGTCAACAAGTGGTTAGCAGGTGTATAGATGAGGTAGCCACTTGTATAGCTACAAATTTAAGTCGACTATGGATTAAATTTCCCATGGATGAAAGAAGAAGAAATGATATAAAAAGGCGCTTTATGGAAAAAGCTGGATTCCCAGGAATCATTGGATGCATAGATTGCACCCACATCGCAATTTTAGCACCTGCCCATGAGGAACACATTTATGTTAACAGGAAGGGCTTTCACTCCAAAAATGTGCAAATAATTTGTAACGACAAATTAGAAATTCTTAATATTAATGCCATGTATCCAGGCTCAACAAATGATGCATTTATTTGGAGAGGTTCTCAAATAAAACACTTGCTTGAAGAAGAATATAACAGAGGTAAGTAATTAATAAACTTGTAATATATAGGTATATACTCGAGAGAAAAACTATTAATTTGCATGAAAAGCAATTAGAATACCATTGTTAGGTACTTACTTGTAGTTTATCTTCTTGAATAGTGTAGTTAATAAGCTAACTAAGATAATATAAATTGAAATAAAATCTAAACATGGAAAACCACAGTTTAATATGTGTATAAGAGTGCATTTGCTGATTTAGTTTTGATTATAATTTAAGATATATTTTTTACTTTTGAAAGCATTCTAAGAAAATTTTTGCCTAAAAACACTAAAATTGCATATATTCTTTTAGGAGGAAGAAATAATTGGTTGCTAGGAGATTCAGGATATCCATTGGAGCCATGGCTGTTAACACCATTTGAAAATCCAAATCCAGACAGTCCTGAAGGCCGATACAACCACTCTCACAAGATAACAAGAAGTATAATAGAGAGGTGTAATGGACGCTTAAAACTTGTGTTTAGATGCACTTTAGGAGAAAGAAAACTCCGGTATAATCCTATTAAAGTGGGAACAATAATAAATGCTTGTGCGGTGTTACATAACATATCTCTGAGAGCTGCAGTTCAGTACGAGATCAATTTCCAAGACAATATTTTGAATATGGACATCATCAACTTCCAGGGCAACAATCAAGTTCCAGGCTTGCCAGTATTAGAAGAAGCTAGGCAAGTCAGACAGCAACTCCTAAATAGATATTTTCAAAGATAAAATTATTGCTTTTTAATACTAAAATTGCTAAATTGTTATAATTTTATGATCCATTTTTTATTTTCTTAGTTATATACATATGTTAAGTTAAAAAATTAATAAATATAATTATTCTATATGATTTACATTTTTAAATTTAGTTTTTAACAGTTTTAGTATTATATCTTAATCACCATCTCTTATGTTTTACAACGTTAAATAAAACTAAACTTTAAATAATAAATATACTGCTGTATTTCAAAAATATTATTTATTTTTTCAATAATACCACTTGTTAACACTTATACTATATACCGTATGATCGAATAAAAACGGCGTCAGCGATGGCTAAGAAATGACGATCGATAATATTTCCCATATAATTTTACATATAAAATAACAGCGATCTTCATTTCATAGCCATCGCTGACGCCGTTTTTATTCGATCATACGGTACATGTAATTATATAAAAAATAAATATAAATTAAACCACCAGAAACAAATCTTAAAACATTTACATTAACAGGAAAAAACACTAAAACTGAACAAAATCTTTGGAAAATATTACAGCAAAGTTAAATGAACAAAGGCCATACTCCTTAAAATATTCAGTCAAATATACTACTCTAACATCTAGTAACAAAAATGTCAATAAAAAAACAAAAATCAATTCTCATAACAAAACTAAAAAAATCAAATAAAAGTTAACATTTGCATTGTTTAACAAAAAAAAAACACTAAAACTAAACAAAATCTTTGGAAAGTATTGCACCAAAGTTAAATGAACAAAGGAATACTCTTAAATTATCCTTAAAATATTCAGTCAAATATACTACTTTTAACATCTAGTAACAAAAATGTCAATAAAAAAACGAAAATCAATTCGCATAACAAAACTAAAAAATCAAATAAAAGTTAACATTTGCATTGTTTAACAAAAAAAACACTAAAACTAAACAAAATCTTTGGAAAGTATTGCAACAAAGTTAAATGAACAAAGGAATACTCTTAAATTATCCTTAAAATATTCAGTCAAATATACTACTCTAACATCTAGTAACAAAAATGTCAATAAAAAACGAAAATCAATTCGCATAACAAAACTAAAAAATCAAATAAAAGTTAACATTTGCATTGTTTAACAAAAAAAAAAAACACTAAAACTAAACAAAATCTTTGGAAAGTATTGCACAAAGTTAAATGAACAAAGGAATACTCTTAAATTATCCTTAAAATATTCAGTCAAATATACTACTCTAACATCTAGTAACAAAAATGTCAATAAAAAAACGAAAATCAATTCGCATAACAAAACTAAAAAAATCAAATAAAAGTTAACATTTGCATTGTTTAACAAAAAAAACACTAAAACTAAACAAAATCTTTGGAAAGTATTGCAACAAAGTTAAATGAAGGCATACTCCTTAAATTATCCTAATATTCAGTCAAATATACTAATCTAACATCTAGTAACAATAACCAAAATAAACAAATTAAAAAAAAATTCTGATACAAAAATAATAAAAATTCTAATCGAAACAAACAAATAAAAAAAAATCCCATCACCAAAATCAAAAATTAAATAAATTCTGATAACAAAAATAAAAAATAAATTCTAATAATCAAAATAAATTAATTAAAAAAAAAATCCATCAACAAAATAAAACTTAAAAAAATCGATTCTGATAACTAAAATTAAAAAAGCAAAATTCTTCTAACCAAAATAAAAATAAATAAAAAACTTATTTTAAGCAATTACAATTGCAATTACACCCTTGCTTGTCGGCAAGTCTTCCTATATTCTTACTAATTTCTTTTAACACAGAGAGTGTCTCTTGATGCATGCTGGACAGGGTGACTTCAGTTCCTACCCTCTTCCGTTTTTTAGCCAAATTCCTGGTTGTTGCTGTACGCTTCTGTACGTTCTCCCTATTGTCTATGGGGGCTGGATTCACCGAATCAGTCATTGTCTGATCATCGGGATCATAAAAGTTGGCTTCTAATGTTGATTGAGAGCTAGTGTGAGGCAGTACTGGAGACTGAACTACTGCTACAGGTGTAGTTTCAACCGGGACCAATGGTGGCACATGAACAGGTGTAGCTTCACTTTTTGTTAAAGGGACCAATGGTGGCATCGTTAAAATTTTACTAGCCTGGACTATATTCGGAGTAGACGACAATGTTGATGGCATAGAAACATTCTCCTAAAAATACAATGATATTTTTGTTGGACTACATAATAACAAAATAACTTACAAGGCCTAATTCAGGTGTTCCGTCTCCAACCACAATGGTCCATCCTAAGATGCCCATTAGTTTCTCCTCTATTGGAGTTAGTGGAGGAAGAGGAGCCCCTCCCCCAGTCTTTTTTAACCCCAATCGTATTGCCTGAGCTTTTGCCTTAACTTTACTTTTCCATTTTGTAAAGGCCTGTAACAATGTATTTAATTAATTTATTTCTAAATAAAAAACAAATAGGCAAACATATTTTTTAATTTAATATTAAATAACTGGGATCTATTTAAACATGCAAACTTTGCCCTGTTTACACTTACGTCTATCCATTTGTCTGGAGTCTTTGCTCCATAGCCCATGCTATTAAGGCTGGTTGCCAGTTCCTTCCACAATTCATTGTATTTTTGTCGGGCATCTAGCCCTGAAAATGTCCGGGTTACCATCTCTGGATGGTCAAGAAAAAAATCAACCATAGCAGACCACTGCGCCGGACTTGTCCTTGAGGCTCTTTCAGAGCTCACAGCTAAAGGGCTTACTTCACTGCACATTCTTCTATACGTACATAAAACACAAAATCGCATTTTTAACAACCAAGTAGGTATAAATTGTTTTGAAAAAACAAGACAAGAAGTACATTAAAATTAATAATATAAATAAATACATATATACAAAAAAAAAGAAAAACCTATGTAATGTACCTCTTCAAATGTTAAAACTGGTTAAAACGTAATAAAAGAAAAATATGCAAATGTAAAAAAATTGAAAAAAAGGTTATGTTTAGATGATGCTATTTTAATTTCACATAAGATTTAAAAGATACTACTTGTATTACATCCAATACTATTGTACCTACTCACCCAATTTAAACAATAAAAATAATTTAATTTCTTCAAGGTAAACTATAAAATAAATAACTATAAAAATATATTGTAAATACAAACAGATACAAATAATATATAATATCGTAATTCAAATTGTGAAGTCAAATGTCAAATTCCATGAAACGTAGACAAAGCAACATCGATATACGATTTAATAAGTTGAAGTGAAATAGAACTACTATCGCTTTGGAAGAAACACCTATTCATTTGTCTTTATCTCTAGTACGTTCGGGTCTCTCGTATTATGCCCGGAATCATCCGAATTGCATTAGAGAGTGCCAAACGGCCAAGCGACCGTATTCTCGATCGCTATTTGGTTTATAGAGTTCCACTCCAGGCAGCCTGCCCAAGGTGTCGCTTGCCAGTATGGTATATTCTACAGGGTGTTTCAAAAAATATGTGCCATCTCTCGTGGGGAGATTCCTCACGTAAAAATTAGATTTATTTTTCATATTAGCATAGGTCCGATTCTGTTGACTCTGGTTTCGCAGCTACAGGGGGTGTTAAAGTTTTAATATTTTTTTCGATTTATTATAATTTTCTTCCAAGTACTTTTAGCATTGCAAATGGAATTTTGAGGGTAAAAGTTACTATAATAAATGCGACATATTTTAATGCTAGAAAAGTGTCGACATATTCACCAGAGACACGTGCATATGGGTTATCACAGAATATTTTTCTAAAAAAGCATGTACGCCACTGACTTTTGTTTCTCTTATTAACGAAATAGTGTAAGCAGTTTAATGCCGATATTTTGTCGATTTCGGCCTCCTTGGTGAGATAAACGCAATTTTATTAATTTGCCTTGATCCAAGTCTAATAGCAACCTTTAAATTTTTTTAATATCATTAACTTGCCAAAATTTTAAATTAGTACTCACTGATTCCTCATCAAAAAATATGAAAAAAAGTCCCTATAAACATGGGTATGGAAATGCATAGTTTTAGAGTTACAGGATGTTAAAACTTTTTAAAATTAGATTTTTCGCAATTATTTTAAATACCATTATTTTTTTTTATTTGAAATTGCTCTAGGTTGTATTAATAGTAATAATATTTAATAATAAATTAGGTAAAATATAAAAATTTATTAATTTTATTTTTATTTTAATTTTATTAACTGTGATTAATAAAATTGCGTTTATCTCATCAAGGAGGCCGAATTCGACAAAATATCAAGAGATAACTTTTAATTGGCATTAAAGGGCCTACACAATTTTGATATGAAAAGAAGAAAGTCAGTAGCGCACATGTTTTTTTTTAAATTTCCCAGTGATAACATTCATGCACCGTCCCTGATGAATTTAACTCCACTTTTTTAGCATTAAAATATGCAGCACTTATAGTAACTTTTATCCTCAAAATTTCATTCGAATCACTAAAAGTACTTGGAGGAAAATTATAATAAATCGAAAGAATATAAAGATTTTAACACCCTGTATCTACGAAACAAATCAGAATCGGACATAATATGTCGATATAAATTGGGGAATATCTCCACATGTTTGATGGGACATGTTTTTTGAAACACCCTGTATACCGGTTGGTGCATCGTCGTTGGAAACATAGGAAATCCCATAAAAATTTTGAACTGTTCAAATATTGTCTCCTATAGTAATTTTACAACTAAATCGTAAATAGGTTCTTTAAAGGTCTGCTGATTTTTTAAAGTTTGTTGAAAAAAATGCTGAATACACATGCCAAATTGGAACAATTTTGGACAAGCCGATTTTAAGTAATTTAAAAAAGACTAATTTTAAATTAAAACTGAACAGGTATAGTACTCAACCTATGATTTAGCTTGTTGCGGACTACAACACTACTACGTTAAAATGATACGGTTAGTGTCCCCGAAATGCATTTTTGTAATATAAAACTGGTTCGAATGAGGCAAAAGCCAAGCAAAAGCCTAATGTTTAGAAAATACATTTTGGCATTGACAAAATTATAGGATGACAACTTACCTGTTCAGTTTTAGTTTAGATGCAGTTTTTCTTAAATTACTTAAAATCAGCTTGTCCAGAATTGTTCAAATTTGGCATGTGTATCCAGCATACTCTTTTTTAAGCATACGACTTTTAAAAACCTCTTTACGACTTAAAACGGCTGTAAAATTAATAGGGGAGCCAATATTTGAACATTTCAAAATTTGTATCGGGTTTCCTATGTTTCCGACGACGATGCACCACCCGGTATTACAATCAAATTAGAGGGGTCACTTGGAAAAAAGTGTTGGAAAGCTAATTATTTATTTGATTAATTATTTGAAGTGAGGGAGAAGTTTTCTTTGGTTTGTACGGTTGCTCGACCAACGCGCGACTCGACGTTTCACAACTATATGTCCAGTAGACTTAAATAACACCAAACTTCACCCACAGTGTGAGGAGACAACAAAAACTGCATGATTTGACCAGGCAAAAAGTATTATAAAAATGGGAACCCAAAGAGGAAGAACTGCAATCTAAAGTGCAGTTCGGATGTCTTCAGCCACAACTACGTGAACATTTCCACTGTTGTATCATATTATAGCATGAAAAAATTCAGTTCAACTGAAATAAATATTTGCCATTTTATCACATGCCATCGATTAAATTTTTAGATTTTTTGCTGTGGCTATTGGTTTATTCCACTGTGTTTTTACAAATTTATTATGGTCCTTTTCTTATTTCTATGCAACTTCTAAGAGAAAAAGTATTAACATTCATCCTCAAGACCGAACCTTTTAACATAGCCTGGTATGTCCGAGGAATATGTCTCCCAGGTCTGATAAGTTTAGAATATTTGTCCCAAGCATCTCAAACCTGGCCCTGCTCCCAGCAGCAGGGCAGGTACACCTGGTACACATAACGTGCTTCATGGCTTTTTCATCTTCAGCAGAGTCGGCTTTCCACCAAACTCAGTTTGGAAAATTGAGAAACACACCCCAATTTTACCGTACCTACCGTGTACCAACACATTTCCGCATGTAATAAAGCGTTTCTCGGCGTATCCCATTTGGTAGTAGATCCACAAAATCTCATCCGACTGTAATTCGCCTACTAGTGGGTTATGTACGAACTTGATTTTCCTTGGCATTCTCGTGCCATATTTAGAAATATTTATGTAGGTTATTGCCTTTTTTTTCCAAAAGAATTTGAAGAGGAGGTAAGTCGAGTAGGTTTTCCATAGCTTTTAACGGCATAGAATAAAAGGCAGCAGTCACCGCTAAGCATGCTTCTTGAAATTTCAACAATTTATTCTGTGCCGTTGTTTGGTTGGTTTTATGCCAGCCGGTAACTGCACACTGTACCATAGGTCATTATAGGTCTGATGGCTGTCACGTATAGCCAGTATACTCTGTTTTTTTTTCTCATGTAAGATTTCGACAGACGATGAAAGAAGAAAAGCAGATGACGTGCCATACCAATCTATTTATTTTACTAAAAAAAGTTTCTAATATTTTTTAAGTTAACTATGGATGGGTTTAAATATAAATCCGTCATACGTCGTCACTTGTTGTTTTTAGTGGTTTATTTCAAAAATGACATGATCATATTTAAATTGACGGAACTTTGATTGGTTTGACGGAACGATGAACGACAAACGGACGCCGCGCCGCGCACCGATGCGTATGGACTCGCCTTTAGATTTTTGAGGCTTGTCAAAGTTTTGCCAAATTATAGGTTATAATTTTGTGTCAACTTATGTCAAATATCTGCGTTTTGGAACATGATGCATTTTGATTCGTGTTATTACGTGTGTTTTGTGTCTTTTGAAGCCAAGTGGAGGAAAAATCGAGGGAAAATTAACTGTAGACCCAGAGCACAGTTTTTAGTTAATACTCGCTGCTCAGGCAGGAAGTCTTATACACCAATAAAGTTATCATCAATAAAGTTTGTATACCATCTCGTCGTAGATAAGTGCATCTCGTATATGGTACAAGGATCGTACTAAACATATACTACTGGAGTAGCTCTAAAATATCGACATCACACGATCGGTAAATAATGGATTACTGCAGAAAAATAATGTCAAAAGGTACCGGTTTAAAAAAAGTTAAGATTAAAGGTCATCAGATAATCAATCTTTGAGGTATAAAATTTGGTAAGTGTTATTATTAATAAAATAGTTGGTTTTATTTATGTTGTTTTATTTATTCCTGTGGAATATTATAAATTTTTATTGGTACATAAGTTATATTGATAAATATAATAATAAATGCGGGAAGTTTCTTGAAGCTTATACCAACCGTTTTTTAATAAACCTTTTTTAATAACACATACCGTTTTTTAATAAAATAACTCGATTACATTTTTTCAGTTTTATACAGTTTTTTTCACAATATTTTGAAGTAATCACTTATCAGTCAAATTTTAAATATATTAATTTCCTGCTATGCGTTCCAATTGTACCAACTAATTTCTTTGTAAAATAAAATAAACTACTTTAAAACTAAAATGACAGACACATCTATCCAAGCATCTATCACTGTCAAGAATTTTGTCGTTGGACAGACTATACATATATTTGAGGTTTAATCTCCAGAGACAATACTTAAATAATATAGAACGAGTTTGCCACTCATAGCAACATTTATAGTTTAGTTTAACCCGAAAGTTTAACCAATTTAGATTTTTTTTTTGCTTGGCGCTAAATTTTTTGACTCATTTAAATCAACATTGACTAATCAACAAGGTATGAGGCAAATATATTTAGTGTCTATTTTTTATGGCTTTCTTCTAGAAACGCTAAATATTCATACGTATTAAAAGCGTTAATTTTTTTCGTAATGTAGACATTTGGGAAAAATTCCGAATCAACCCGCGTCCAAGTCGAAATCCTTCGCGGCCCTGTGGGAATTTGTACACGGTCGCACTCGACTTTATGGCATTCTTAGCGTCAATTCACAGAGATTTATAGCTACTCTCTTGCTTTTATTACTATTCGCGATTATTAACTCTAACCGATTACCTCAACGCGAGTGAAAAGTTTTAAGGCACCGGATAAGATTACGTTAAAAACATATACGAATATTCCAGAGGCGTACGCCAATAATTACTAAAAAATGAACAATTCATTAGCCATCCTGGATATTTATTTTTTGACTGATCTTCTTATCATACTATGCTTTATACAGAACATATGTATAGCCTCTAGCATGGACTTGTGATTTGCAAAAGCAATTGAAAGCTTGGCTGCAATAACCGGCAGCTCCACTTTTTTCGAAACTGAGATTTTTAGTGAATTACCCTTTAAAAAAATTGGCCGATCATCTCCTGCAACAATCAGTTCTCGCAATATAACAGTACATAAATGGCGACGATAGTTGGAGCTGCCTTACTGTGGGTTTGC